TCACTCTGGTATAACCTTATTTCAGCTTCTACTTTTGACTTTTCATAATCACTAAAAATATGGGACATAAAAGATGATAATTTTTCAAAAGCTAATATTGTACTGTTTTACCTCTTAGCTCTGGATCTAATGCTGTAAAACTAATTAGATATGAATTTTTAAGGGGTAATTTCTGTTTCATATGCTATGCTGTAATAGTATAAGCTTTCATCAGAGAAATTTGGAATTCTTTTGCTATTGGATGATTTTTTGATAATTTCTTCAGGAGAGTGGAAGCTTTTGCTAGGTAGATGGAATCCTGGATTTGTGACATCAACCTTTAATAAATCATTATAAGATGTGCACTCTATATTTTCTGGCTCCTTAAAAAAGAGAAAAAATTTGCCATCAATTTATAAATACTGGAATGTAATAAATGAAGCATTGTTTTTTTTTTTTTTTTTTTTTTTTGTTTCAAATAATTTAATACATTGAAAGAAAGAGAATTCTCGGCGATAAACGAAGTTATTAATATCTCTTGGCGTGCTTTTCTTGTCACTATATCCAATGGCCGAGCATCAGTCTCCAGTAAGTCATCAGTATTTTTTGAATTAGCATAATACTTAAAGTCATTGAATGTTTAATGCACTTTGAATATTTATGGTGCATCACAGTTTTAGAATGATTTGTGAAAGCCTTGAATCCTTCCCACCATACTTCAGCAGTGAGTTACAAAAAAAAACACAATATGCTGTCCAGCAACATTTATTTCTTGCACCATGTGCCGATGGTATCCTCATTACCATCCCTCCGTTCAATCCAATTCCACCTAAATGCCATTCCGGACACCTTCTTCTAATTGTATAATATCACTATTTATATCGAGAAATTCATAGTGAAATTCCCTTGCGTACATAAATAAAAAAATTTCAATAAACGAACAAAAAATTTACACGTGCATCAATAAATGAAACGAAAATTTTACGCAGCAGAGAAAAAAAGTTGAGAAGCTATCAATGACAAATAGCTAATACGGCGAAAAATCCCCTTTCTCTACTTATTGGTGCCACGCCAGGAGAGATAAGACCTTTGAACCCAGAGTCACGTGATCGCACATCTGGTCAAACAAAGTCTTTCCCTTTTTTTTCTGCCGCACCTACTTGCTGAGAAGAATCCAGAAGAGAATGTCCGAGAACCGGGGGAATGAGTCATAACTTGCAATAAGGAAAGAACAAAAAAGAAGTTTTTTTCCCCCTTTTCACACATTATCACTGCTTTTGGAGAAAGAAAGGAAAAGTTTTCACCACACACACTGACCTTGCGTTTTCTGCTTTCAAAGCAAACAAAATTACCCAGATCAAAATAAATAATTCATTATTATTCCTACTTCCTTTTGAACGATGATCCCCGGAAATCGAAGTTCAAAATCCCCGGAATTCCGGGGTTTCCCCGGAGCACAAACACCCCTGCATAATGAAAATAATGACATACTTTCCTTCAATTTTCCGTATAGTAGCTACAAATCGGAAAATGGCCAATTTTTTATTTCAAAATACCTTCCATATTTTTATTTCACTTAAAATTTCAAATAGGTATATTTTAAATTCAGTAGTACGCCGTAAATATGTCAATCGTTTCTTCTCGAAAGATAATAATTTTTAGTTTAATAAACAAATGGTTCATGTAAAAAAAAAAAAAAAAAAAAAAAAAAAAAAAAAAAAAAAAAAAAAAAAAACATTTTTTGAGTAATTATGCTCAAATCATCACTTTTCTGAATTAAAAAGCTAACCTAAGCTTAACATAATACGTGACCGCACTTACCTTTTTTTATGCAGTATAACAATAACAACAAGCAAACACACACACACACACACACAAAAAAAAAAAAAAAAAAAAAAAAATAAAAGTTGCACAAATTTCTATGATTGCAACAGTAGACACAAAATAAGGACGTAAGCAATTTATTGAACGCGTTTACTTCACCTCCTGTATCCTATACACATCCCATCATTCATTTCCGTTCACATAATATTTACAAGATCAGCTCAACTTATGTCAGAAACTGCAAAAAGCATCAAGTGATAAAAATCAAAGCAATATAAATAGTATAGATCTTATGCATGAACTGAAGTTTTTGCAAACTTTTGGAAAAACTGGAGCATCGCCGGTTGAAACCATTAGCTATATCTCTGTCAACAACACAGCGATGTGCATAAAAGAATTTTGGATATATCCTTAGATATCAGCCCTAGAGCATTTTTTGCGCCCTGTAGTAATCACAGTTTGATCCTTGTCGTAAACTATGCTGCAAACAACAATTTATTCAGTGAAAATTTATTAGATATGTATATTAATTTGTTTTTAATTTAAAAATAATAAATAATGTTCAGCAATATATTTGGCATCCAATGCAGTTAGAGTATTATTTCGCTTCGCTTGCACTCTCTTAACAACATGTTAACATGTTGTTTTTGACTAATGGTCACTTGTCTTACCCAAGGCCCCGAAATTCCTCATAGCAAGGAGTGCCTGTCGTTGGCAACAGCCTTTAGCATCTTACAGGTGACAGTGCGATTTAGCGCAGTTTTGCCCCCAATTTTGATTGAGAGTGCCCTGGGGGGCTGAGCATCTCTCACCCTTCTTCTTCTCCACCAACCTTTCTAGAGGACTTTCCCCTTGCATATTTGGAGTGCCCCCATGCCGCACGCACACTATACATTTACAAACATCCATGTCATCTCCGGGATTCAAACAAAAGATAAAATGTAATTTTCTTGGTTTTTCATATTATTATGTTAATAATGCTTCATTTTAAATGTTAACCATAAGCGATGTCCCTTTAATATCGTCACTACATAAAGACGCTCACTAGATATTTGCACGACGGTGCCGATTAGGCTTAGCGCGGGCCTGACTATGAGGACATACTTCATGCAGGTAATTGTTCCAATGTATTACTGTTTTGTCAACCATATTCAGCTGACCATATCGTATCCATTAACACAAACTTTTTTTGATGCTAGTCTCGTAACTTGAAAATAATTCACCGCTTGCTGTTCTATAGAAGATACAGTAAGACCCCGCTTTACGCGGGGGTTACGTTCCATCAAAGTAGAGCGTAATGCGAAACAGCGCTAAACGAGGCTATTTTTACATGTAAATATTGGGGTTAGGGGAAGATGGCTAGAAAATTGGTTAGGTATTAAATTTAAAAAATATGTTTTTTTAATAAAAATAAAACCAAACATTTATTTCTTAAAGCACAAATTAATACCACATTATTATTTCTTGCAAAAATAAAAACAAAATATAAATAACAAAACGAATATTCTTAAAAAAAAACAAATAAAATTCCAAGTCAGTCATATTTAGTTATACGACTGGAATGCATGTTGTTAAGTCTGATAAATTTGTTGGGTGGCTTGGAGCATTATCAATTAACAGAAGTGCTTTTTGTTCAAGTTTTTTAATTTCGCCAATAATAACAGTTTAACAGACGGGCAGAAATGTTCAGTGAACCAATCCTGTAAAATTTTCGCAGTTATCCATGATTTTTTATTAGACTCCCAAAATTACAGGTAAAGTTGATTTAGATATGCCTTTCATCGCTCTTTGGGTTTTTGGAATGGTAAACTAGTAATGGCTTTTAATTTGAAATCTTCCGCTTGCATTACCACCTAGTAGAAATGGTTAAGTGCAATCTTTTACAGCTTTAAATGCCTGATGCTCGTTTCTCTTCATGGGATAGAAATGTTCGTTTTGGCATTCTTTTCCAAAACAAGGCCTGTTTCATCAACATTAAAAACCAATTTGGAGGATAGTTCCTCTTCAATTATTTTTTTTTAATATCGCTGGAAATTCAGCGCCGCTTTTGTATCACCACTTGCTGCTTCTCCTGTAATCTTTATGTTGTGAAGGTTATTTCGATGTTTAAATCTATTAAACCATCCTCGACTAGCAACGAAAGTTTCACTTTTGTCAATTGTCAGCCTGAATGTAATTAAAAATTCTTCTAGCTTTTTCCATTATGATAGATGGCTTAATGGCATATTGCGGTCAATTTCGTCGTCAATCCATATAGACAGTCGTTTTCCATTTCTCTATGATATTTTTAGAACGGGTAATTTAGTTGCAGAGCTTGACGTTAGTTGCAGTTGCCGATGGCAGTATTTTTTCTTTATTCTTCATGATGGTCCTTATGTTGAAGTTGGCAAATTCAATGAAGCACTAATTAGAGTTTGACATTCACCAGAATCTAATCTTCTAATCACTTCCATTTTGTTTTGAGTGAAATGCTTTTTCTGGTGCTTTCTTTTCTTTTCATTATCACCATAGTAAAAAAACTAAAGATCAAAATATTTGACACTGTAATATAGTATTAAATATGTAAATTAATACCTACTTACAATAATGTCAACAAATGTTTCCAATAATAAAAATATGTCTGTACAATACCGCACCAAACAAGAAATACAAGTACACACTTTCGGATATGTATTTGAAACCTATCGCTGCATAATATTTCGGGGAATCCCCGTGTGCTGCGAGCAATTTCGTGGAATCCCCGAGTTGAAATAAAAGAGCACTAAACCGAAACAACGTTAAGCGGGGTCTTACTGTAGGTCTTAAATTTTAATAATTTCTTTTAAAATGCAAGAAAAATATACAGCAATAACAGTTAATTTATATCCTTGCTCATAAAAAAGCGGGATGGCTTATTGGGAATCAGTCAGGCTTAGATCTAACGAAAGCGTAGATGTTACAACTGTGCTGTTATGTCGCACTTATCCATAACTGGTGCTAGACCGCACTACTTGGTGACGATTTCACAGTTGAAAGAACTACATGTATCGTTTCTTCTTAGAGTACCTACTGCACAAGCCTTTGGCAATATTTAAAATATACACACTGCAGACTGAAGAATTACGTTTGTGAACAAGCATGATGACAGTTTAATAAAGAAATTTCAAAAATGGCTATACATGTGATAATATATTTATATAATAACAGTACATACATACCTATTAAACGCAGATGTAGATGACAGAATCTGCTTAATATTTTGTCTTCCCAAATATCTAAAACAATAAATTTTACAGAAAAAATATTGTTCAATTAAACTTTATTTGTATTAAAAAAGTTAGAAGAAATTTCTTAAAAAAAATTAACTATAAGTTAAGAACATAGCATATAAGTTTTTTAATTTATCAATACAGCAATCAACATGTCACACTCGCTTGTTTAAGTAAGCTTTCAGTAGTGGTGAGGGAAAAGAAAAAAAAATGTATTCTTCTGGTTACTACACACAGTTTGGAATCTTCTGGAGTAACTCAGGATTTGAGATTCTAGTTTAAATTGTAAAATAAAAATATTGTTGCATAATACATTTCACTAAATTATTAAAATATTTTTGAACCATAAAAATAATCTACCATTTATAACAGAAACTAGGAAATATTAAAAGAAAAATCTGAAAATTTTGAATTTTATAAAATCCATTGAAACAATTAAAATTCACAAAATTTTATTCTATGTTATAATTACTGCCTTACTTAAAATATTGATCAAGCAAAACATTATGACTACCTTTTCACTTTAAACACATAAAACAACTACAATCTGTCACAGCAGGGCTCTAAAATTCTTAGTATGTATATGGAAGGAGATTATATTCGATTTGCAAGCATAGATTATAAGCATAGATATTACTTGTAGATTATATATGGTGATAGTTAGCCAGGTCTGAGATAACACTTCTAGATATCCCAGGCGTGCTATGCACAATCAATACCTGGGAAGTTAGGAAACCAACACCACAATATCAACTGGAATTCATCAGTGTGGTCTTAACTACTGTAGCACAATTCCAACTTAGTGACAAAGAGAAAAGTCCTGCTTCTTGACACTACATTAGGATTGTTGCTCAAACTTAAAATGCTGTCTTCCCCCATTACAAACAAGCCTTCCCTTTCTAGCAGGAAAGATAAAAAACATGAATCAAAATACGGCATGTACGCTCACCCCTTATTTTCAAATAAATATAATATGTATGCACATATGCATTGTCATCATGTTCAATATATGAGGCATAAGCACCTTATCAGAGCATCAAGGACAACAGCTAAGTTGTTCTCTTGAGAGACAACTACATGCAGTTTATTTTGCTTTGAATTAATCATATGTTTAATCTGTCTATGACCCTAACTGAACTGACAGGCTAGAATGCCAAACATGTTGCAGCTGGAATTACTTATGTTGCTAACTTTCTCACCTGCTTTTGACTGATAAATAACATATGTGTTTAAAAAAGAAATATTTCCAATCAAATGCAGCCCTGCTTGAGATACTATTCTGTACTTTTTTGTAGCAACAATGCATATGGAACCATTTCATTCTGATATATGTTGTAATTTTTTTAAAATTCTTGTCAACATTAATGGTTTCAGATTTATGGCTCAGATTAAAAAAATGTAAAATGAATTATAGCAAACTAAGGTAAGGATTTTTACTTCGACAGAAAACTTGCCTGTAATTTCCAGTCTAGCTGATATTAGAGATGGGTAAGGGACACCAACCACTCCACCATGATTTGTGATCAGAGAATATAATTCCAAATAGGTAAGGGCAAAAGAGGAGAGAGTTAAAATGTCCCAGCCCTCCTTTGCTAGATTGTTAGCCATTTCTTTGCTCATAAAAATCCACACTTTAAACACATAAAACAACTACAATCTGTCACAGCAGGGCTCTAAAATTCTTAGTATGTATATGGAAGGAGATTATATTCGATTTGCAAGCATAGATTATAACCATAGATATTACTTGTAGATATAAGATGAGATGGGATCTCATCTTATATCTACAATAATGAGATGGGATCCACTGAAAATAAATATGATGTTGAGAAATTAGGTTTAGTTTTTGTAGGGCAGAGATACTAGTCTTATCGTCTATGTAAATCCAATTACTAAGATGTTGGAATGAGCTTTGGCTTAAAACTTCAAAATTCTTCTCCATTAATTTAGCCTCAAGTCCTAAATTCATTGCTATTATTTCACTTCTGAAAACTGAACATTGATCTGGATTACATCGATGGAGTGTCATTTTTCTTCGGGGGTCTCAATATAAATGCCATTACTTGTTTAGCCAACAATTTTGCTGCCATCTGTGAAGGTCTTGGGATTTTTGGGGATATTGTGTATTATCTCCAAGGTCAATTGTCTATGGTGTCAGTAATATAATCTTTCTTATTTATAGGAGTGGAAAAGTTACAGCGAAAGTGAACCCTGGAGAGTCCCTCCAATGTGCTTAAACAGCATTGTACAGTCAAAAGTCGTTAATCCGGACTCGTCGGCACTTTGGCGTTTCCGGATTATAGATCATCAGTTTAAATCTGGTAAGATGGCATGCAGAAATTATAAAATTAAAAATATGAAACCATAATTTATGACATAAAGAACAGTTATGATCTAAAAGGTATCAAAATTTACAAAAAAAAAAAAAAAAAAAAAAAAAAAAAAAGCTTAATATTTATTTGTTTACTTTATTAAACATTTCTTTCAATGTAAGTTGTTTAAGTTGCTTTGTTTTATGTGATAATACTTTCTCTTTAATTCTATAAACAGACATAATTTCTTGTTCAGTTACAAAGTTCCGCTGTTCAAGTCCTATAATTGCTGTGTCGAGAATACCGACTAATTTGTCAATCGAAATTTTTTCGTTTTCAATAACCTCTGTGTCACTTTCTTCACTATCGGAAGGCGAATTATAATGACGAGGATTTGATTTAAATCATATCAAAGACGGAGTACATCGATATGAAATACTACATTTAGTAAGGAATTATAATCCAAATAAAATAAAAACATCTGCCCTGATGATAAGGATAGTGCTGACAGATCAACTTCCAATTCATTGCGTGCCACGGCGTTTCTCACCCCCCCCCCCGGCAGAGCAGCGTGAAATTGATAAACAGATTTCGGAACGGTTAGAGAAACGAAGGATATGCCTTAATCCATTTTTTGCAGCAATTCCACTTTTTGTTTAATGGACTTCGAAACATACTTTCGCTTTGTAAATCCTTTACATACTAGTAAATATATATCGGAAATTCTATTTGACATAATCGAAAGTTCAAGCCTACTTTTATAAAATTGCTCTAACAGTTTGCAAAAAATAATAAGCCGGATCCAATTCAAAGATTAAGGAACAATGCAATCTGCGACATTAACTGAATTAGATAATTTTAGCTTAGCTTATACCGTCCGTTATACATTAAATGCGCATGCGTAAACGTATTATGCGCATGCGCACACGCATATTCGCAGCCGTAAAGGTCTTACGCGTATTCGTCCATGAGATGCATGCGCAGAAAGTTTGTAGCTTTGAGGTCCGGATTATGGGTGTCCGAATTAACAACATTTGACTGTAGTAAGTAGGGCTCAACATTGCAATTAATAGGCTCTTGGAATCAACTAGGCCAAAAGGGATGTTTTTCTTTAGTCTTGGTCGGTTTTTCTATTTATTTAGGTGTGTAGAAGTTTTGTTGTATAGGCCATAACTAAAGAGCAAAATACCTGTACCAAATGTAGATTCTAAAAAAATACCAAAAGGAATACAGAAGTGTGTTATTCAAAAAATGCCAAATATACAAACACAGATCAAAGATCAAAATCTGGCATAAAAACACCCAAATCTGGATAATGATTGGGAAAAGCTGCTAATGAAAAATTCTTCCAAGACTTGAACGAACATTTTACTTCACGAGTTCACAAGCTAAATGTTTAAAAGGTTTTTTTTTTTTTTTTTTGATCAATAAAGAATTAGAACTGGTCTCTCAAGTGTTTTGTTGTTTGCTTACATTGAGTCTGTTTGTCTTTACATAGTTCCTGCTGCTGTTGGGGGATCAGGAATATGTCGGCTCCAATGCCCACTAAAAACCGTAATCCCGATTTGTTGTTGCCAACATATAGTCGGAATTTCCGGTAATTATAATTGCTTGCAGAACTGGCCGTGGAGTTTACTGCTGATTTATGTTTCCCAACTGTTTCCAGTCACAAGGTTGTTTACACTTTTCAGAATAGCATTTAGTGCCAAATTTAAAATGGTAATCACAATATTTACCTTTTTCGTCAAATTTCTTTCTTGACCTGAACTGTGAGTCCGTGGTCTGGAGTTCCAGGCAGTCATGCTGGCAATTTGGAGGGCTAATCTTTGGACTATGGTAACAGGTAGTTTGGCAACATTTTGGTAAGGTGAAAAAGGTTGTTAGCTAGGACTTTAGCAATTTCCAAATTTTTATTGCATTTATGTGATCATCCAAAAGAGTTGCTTGAATGGTGTATGAGTGTAGGATTAATTGCAGATAAGTATGAATGTCCAACATGCGGGAATGAAATGAGATTGTGTGAAAGGAAGGATAGTACAGATAAGTTTGAAAGGCGGTGCAATAAATCTGGTAAAAATGGACTTTCCGGAAAATTCCGATCGTGATTTTTAGCAAATAAGCATATGAAAACAATTTCGCACTTAATCTTCATCATGATTAAGCACTTTTTGTTCCATAAAAGTTCTAGCATAAGCGTAATTCGGTTAACAGATTGTTGGCAAAAATGTTGAGTGAAAAAAAAAAAAACATGCCTTTACTTCATTAAAACAAAATGGTGTCAAAAAAAAAAAAAAAAACTCGCAGGTGCTGTAGTAGGATTGGTCGCTAAATTTTTGCCAAAAAATTGCCAAGTTAACATAATCCGAAGATTCACCATTTGGAGCTCTAATGAGGCAATTTTCTGCTGTAGTTCTTCCACCACTGTATTTTTGCTGACGGAGCCAATTCCTGGCGGGAATTTAGCTCTACAATTTTATCAGCCATTGTGGCCAACTTGTCCAATCTCATTGCTAACCAACAGAATGTTTTTCCCAGCCCCTGGCATCTTTTCCAGAAAGACATATCGCAGAATATTCTCCAACATGTCTACCCCCAGAGATTTCATTCTCAGAAGGAGCTGGTTGGGTTTCATGTCGCCAAGTTCTACTCCGGTGAGCAAAAGTTTAACGTGGTGATTTTCACTTTCCTTAAAAGTAATCATTCGTTAGCAGGCGAATATGCATTGCATGTAGAGTCTTTTATGATATCCCAGATATTCTCCATAAATCTAGGTTCTAATTGGGCGACCAAATAATTGAACGTCATGTCTTCATTCTTGATTTCATTAATTTAAAATTGCACCTCTATTTGATAAACCACATCTCAGGTCTTTCAACCCAAAACGGCAAAATTTTCATGCTCACCTTGCTAGCTTCGGCATTCGGCTAGGCAGTTTTATCGTCGTCCATGGCAAAATAAAATATTATCTCGTATTGTCCGATACACCAAATTATTGTGTGTTTCTTAATTAAAAAAGTATGCACTCTAATACTTTAAAAACTGAGAGATGACCCTTGGTGCGTGCTTCATATTTGAATGTAAACAAAGAACAAACAGACTTGAGAGACCAGTTCTAATTCTTTATTTTTGAAAAAAAAAAAAAAAAAAACTTTTAAAATATTTAGTTCATTAACTCGTTAAGCAAAAATATCATTGATATTTAAAATGTATTATTACCATTTCCAACAGATATGCTAACAGCATTGTATATGGGGAAAATATGAGTATCTCAATGCATATGGCAAAAAATTGCTACAGCTACCGGATACCAACTGACATATTAATTACTTTTTCCGATCCAACTTAGACACATATTGCCATGAAAAAACAATAATAAACTTAAAATTCATTATTCAAGTAACGAAGTTTAAAAGAGATGCAATTTTTTTAATACTAAAAATTTATTACTTCGACCAACAAAAATTCGTGCTTCATATTTTATGTTTAACCTAAACATATACCTAACTTAAATTGTTAAAATTTAGATGTGCATTATTTTTATAGAAAATATACCTGGAACAAGTCAAATATAAAGCCATTGCTTAATCTTTAGAATATTTTGAGTAGCAGACACCGTAGCTAAGGGCAATAAGGTAAACAGCACAAGATGTTCTTCTTTACAGTTGTAACATTATTATTATTATTTTAAAGGCTCGGTATTTATCTGGGGAGCGAAATAGATTATCATAATAATCTATATTTTTTTCATACAAAATTTCCTATTGAATCATCCATTAAATTCTAACAGAAATGATGCAGCTGAGCTTAAAAACTGGAAAATTTACTTATATTTCAGTCACATTATTCATTTAAATTTCAATCATATTATTAATTTTAATTTACATTGTATTTGCTATTTAAAAACCTAACGTTTATCAGTCGAAAGCAAACATTTGACGTTTTCTTTCATTCAGATTGATTATTTCATGGGGTTTTCTTTAAAAGATTTCTAAAATATATTAAAATATGCTGTGGAAATACTAAATTAATCATATATGATACCATGTTTTAAAGCCTAATATAAATGTGCAAGATTTTTTAATTTTTATTTATTTATTTATTTTTTTTTTTCTTTTTCAATGCCATTTCCATTTTTGGAGAAATGCTACTAAACACTACTTTTTCATTCTAAACTGTGACTGTGATTTGTTCCCGTTCATGCGAGTAAGGCTTTTGTGGTGCATTATCTTACCTTCTGTCCTCTTTCAAGAAAAAAAAGATTTGTACCGATTATTCTGTTTAATGCAGTCTAAAATTTGATTAATGTGAAAAACATTTTGTTCATTTAAATCTTCTATACCGACAGTTTTTTCATCATTTGTTAGAACCAACATGGAGAACGCACTAGCACATGGTATAGGAGTACAAAATAGATATGCCTTATTTTATGACGAAGATGTTGATCCTTTGGAGATACTAAGGCAACAGGAAGAAGAAAAGCAAAAGCGTAAGACTGATAAAACTCAGTGCAAAGATAAAGGTAAAGTTGTGAAATCTGGAAAACAACCTGCGTCTGTTGTGTCGCCTAAAAAGCCTGTTGAAAATTTACCTGTGAAAACGGCTAAACCCACAGAAAATGTAGATGCAACCAACAAGTCCAGAGGAAAGCAATCAAATGAGCGACCAGCTAGGAATTCTACAAATTTCCAAGAATCAAAAGATATAGAAGACAGGAAAAATTTTCGGAATCGGGATGATCAGTTTTTTAACGCAGAGTCAAAGGAACGAGATGGTGAATTTCGTAGAGGAAGAGGTGGTTTCCGTGGCCGCGGAGGGAGAGATCGTGGAAGAGGATATTTTGGCAATGCTGAGAATAGAAATCGGCGTATATTTGATCGCCACAGTGGCAGTGATAAAACTGGTGTACGGCCAGTTGATAAGAGAGATGGAGCTGGGCCTAATAATTGGGGAGATATCAGAAGTGATATTAACCAGCGAAGAGATGATACAGTTTGGGATGAAGAAGAATTTGATGCCAGTGGTGATAAGCCACGAGAATCTGGTAATTGGGCTGATGATGAGCCAGTAGCTGAAACTTCAAAGTTTGGCAAGAGTGATGACTCATTTGGAAAAATTAATGAAGGTGTTGAAAGCTCAGAGTTCAAAGAAAATGATCAAGTTCCAGAGGAGCAAGTGGAAGAATCTGTGCGAGAGATGACCCTTGATGAGTGGAAACGGGAGCAGGAAGCCAAGAGAGTTGTGCCGAAGTACAATTTGCGCAAACCTGGAGAAGGTGAAGACGACAAGCAGTGGAAAAAATCTTATGTTTTGAAGAAGAAACTCAAAGATGAGGATGAAGAACAAGATGAAGATGATGAAGTTGAAGACGAAGACTTTGGGCGCAAAGGGCAGCATCGTCAACTCCTGGATATTCAAATCAACTTCAGCGATTCTCGTCGTGGCACTCGTGGAAGAGGACGTGGAGCAAGAGGTGGGCCGAGAAGTGGTGGTAATCGTGATGTTCCTAGAGAAGATCGTGCTCGAGAAAACAGAGGCCGTGGTGCAGGTCGTGAGCCATCTAAAATAAAAGCTGGGCAGCAGTCTGCACCTCGTGTGGATGATTTTAATGATTTCCCGTCATTAATAAATGCTTAAGAACTGAATTACTGGTTTATAGGTTACATTCCTGCCTTGCAATTGTTGCTTCATTTGTTTCTTCCCGTCAGGAGAATTTATCCAATGAAAAGGTTTGCAGATGCAAATATTTTTCCTGTAGAAGTATATAATGTGTGCACCTGCATTTTATTTCACTTGAGGAGAACTCTGATTCAAGATTTGCCAGATTGGAATGTAAGACTATAAACTTTGAACTTTGTTTGATTATTATTTTGAAACATTTATCTTGTTTGAAAAAGAAACAATTTAGATTGTTACCTTTTATGTGTTATATGCTACATCTTATGCTGGGTATCAAGATCATGTCATTCATATGATCAGCTTGTCGTTTGCCTTATGTGCATACAGTTCGATGGTAAAACAAATTTAGCAATTCATTGACGTTTTATACTGCCTACAATTTTTTTCTTGAAAAAATGTTGTTTATCAGATGTGATGTAACAAGAAATAAAATTAGTACCATTTTGTTAACTACACTTTTGGTTTTCAGCTTTTTAATGAGTGTTTTCCCGTTGTAAAATAGAGACAAATATATCTTATTTCTTGGTATTTCTTTCGAATATTTAATTTTTTCTTCTTGTATAATTACAAGTCTCTCAAAACGTGAATTAGTCTAGTTTAGTTACTTGTGCAACTTTTTATTTTATGTTTGATGTTTGTTTTCATGTGAATGTATGAGGTAGTATGCATTAATATTCATTCAAATTTTAAATAAGAATGTTGTAATTTTCAACTTAAAATTGTTCTAGTTAGTGAACCAACAATTTATTTTTCCTTTTGCTATATATGCGTAATTAACAGATGGTACATATTTGCAACCTTTAATAAAATTGGTTTACAGGTCATCTATGTATGAATTTGTTTCATAAATTGATTTGCCATTTTCTACTTAGTTTTTGTGTTGCATCAAGAGGTGAACTATGTATAGGTAATTTTTATAAGAAATGTTTTGCAGGTTAAGTAACCAACTTGAGTTGTAAATAAATTTTTTTTTTTTCAAAAAATCAGTACTTAAAATGTGGATAAGTATTCCACAACAGAAGTTTTAATTAAAACTCAAAATAATTTTCATTGAATTTTAATGTTAACCTGTTTTATATTTTACTCTAAATCTAAAATTCCGTCTCATGTAATAATAATGTAAATCTAATAAAGAAATTGCTTTATGGAGAATTTATTTTTCTATTTTCTCGAGCAATATGAAGACAGTAACACTCTTAAAGAGGCTGAATTTTTTGGTATCTTATTTCTTTATTTTATCTTAAACTTAAGCTAGAAAGTTAATTTTGTCCTTTAAATGATTCTGTTATTGCATTTTCTTTTAACAGTAGATTCCTGGTTATACAAAAATCAGAAATGGAAAGGAATTAAGTAAAATTAAAAATGTTTATTGAAAGTATATTTTAAAAATTGGTTGTGTTTTTAAATATTCATTGTGACATTTGTAATAAACCAGCTGTCTTAAAATTTAATGATGCAAAGAGGTTAAATAATTAATTTTGGGCCAAGGACTGATGTTTTAATGTGTTATCATCATAGATAATATGCTGAATTGAATAATTAGGGTTACTGTTAGCATTCATCCATGTAGCCATTTATTGTATAATTACTCATGTAACTTCTTCCATAATGTTCTATAACTAATTGCAAAGGGGCCACAAATTGTACACAGCTTTGAAAAATAGAATAGTGTTGTAGGCTTTACCAGAAATTTTAATGTGGGTGAGAATTGCATTTATTGATCATTTATTGCAAAAATGTTTTCATATATTTTTGCAGAATCTTGTTCTATTAGATCTATTATGGTAGCAAGAGCATCTTATCCAGCTTTATAACCAATTTTTATACTTGTAAAATAATTATGTGTGAAGTCGAAAATTTTGAAATGCTGCTGTGATTATTTTCTGTGTTTGCATTGTTTTTCCTTAGCAATTTTTAAACATGATCATAAAATAATAACACACTATATCATGACTAATGTGAATTTATGTTATACTTTTTCTGTGCCTGGCCCTGTCATCCTGAATTTTGAAATTAGACTTGTATTACAAGTAATGAAAATGCAGTTATACACTTTGTCAGAACAACTAATTTTTATGTACAATTTTGTATATAAAAAATTAGAATAAGGTGTGTAATGTAAAATATTGTATGTAATCTCCTGTTAGCGCATATAAATAGTTCTTTTATATTTTGCTGTATACATCACTTAGTATGTATACTGGCAACACTTCCTTAAACAGAAGGCGTTGATACTGGATAATCCGGAGTCTACTGTATATAGGAAAAATGAGTTATGAACTGACGCAAATGTATTGGTATTCACTTCATTTTAATAAAAATACATTTATATCATATAGGTTATTTGAAACCACATGTTTTCATTTCTCTTCTATAAGATAAGATTTTAAAAAATAAGACTTAATTATTACGAATTTTAGATAAGTCCTGTTTTTGGTTATACCTATGATAATTTTTAAACAGTAGAATTAAATCTATTAAAATTATTTTTAATCCAGATTTTTCCCTTGTTAACCAGCAGTTTCTATGATAATAAAGCTCAATGGTTATTGAATTTGTATATGTTGTATTTCTTTTCATATAATTATCACTGTCAAATATTTTCATGTACTTGAACATACTGTTCTTTTACTAGTGTGGATGTGTTGATATCTAATTGGCAGTAGAGTATTTGCTAATGCAGTTTTATTAAATATATTAAGTAAGGCATTAAACAGTGTTTTAACAGATTTGAAGATTATGACAGCCCATCTACAGCCATTAGCTTACCAGGAAATTTTATTCATATTGTAGAGCAGTAGTCTCAAAACTGGCAGCTTGTTAATAAGTTTCAATTATGTATTTTTTGTTAGGATTTAAATTATTTGTTGTCTAAGTTTACCCTACCTGCCATCTCTCTGAGTCATCCCATTTCTGAGCAAGCAAAAGTACGCATTGTTATTTGTGATTCAAAGGTTCTACAGGCAATCCTGGATGGAAGTTCCCTGATCACCAATGAAACCACTTTCACCTAAACTGTAAAGAAGTTGAAGAGTTTAAGGTGTGCATTCTTTAATGGTTGCCAGCACATGCCAACATCACAGATAAACTGGCAAAAGAGGTTCAAAATATCAACAATAATAACAATATCAACAACCTCTTGAATCAAAATGTCGTGCCAAATACAGATTGAAGAAACATTCAATTCCAGTTAAGCACCAGCTCCATAACATCAGTGGACATTGACTTACATATGAAACTACAAAAGGAGCTGGCCATAACAGAGAATTGAAAATGGATAGAGGGTGTAGAACCTACAGAAACTGTGATAACTGCTCACACATTATTGTCCAGCCAGCCTTGTTGGATTCTTGTTTACGAGACTAAACCTCTAAAATGATAACATTTTGCAGATTGTCAGGGGTGTCATCTTCAGTTTATCTGAATTCTTTCAATCTACTGCAGACATATGTAGATAAATCTAGGTAAATATTATGTATGCTAATGAAGTTTTCATCGTATTTAAAAGTACTTTGATAAGTAAAAGCTTTTATTCCCTGTTATATGTGAACAGCCATTTTTCATAGTTGAAATTTAATAAGGAGCATAATATAGGTAATTTGTCTCAAGTGCACAGACATTATACAAACAAATTTTGTATTTATGTGCAAAACATAATTTGTGAATGTATTGGAGAAAAATTTAATAATACCAGTAAATAAGAGAGGGGTAAGGCTGCCATTATTATTTCTCAAGTTTTATCCTACTTTCAGAGATTCCATAATTCATTTATTTTTAATTTAAATTATTTAATGATAACATTGTCCTACAGCAATAAAACTTGTCCTAAATCTTCCCTTATTAAATAATTTTAATTTGGTATAAAAGAATGTAGAAACCATTTTGCAAATAACATTTTAGCTATTTATTTGCAGTACAGTTTTATTATTTATATTTTCTGTTAGATGAGGATTAAAGTGTTTTACTAACTTTTCGTACTTTAAAAGTTTGTATAGAATTTTTGATATTATCAAATAAACATTCTCTTCTTTTTTTTTTAACTTTTTTTTTGCTTTATTAGCAGCAAAAAACTTGGTGTACTATAATATCTATTATGTCTAATTACACTTGTCAGCGATACTTGATTTTAATCATCAAAAATTAAACTTAAATTTTCCTGAATTCGTGCATTATATTGAACTTTTTCGTAACATTGATGTAGAGTATGTATAGTGCAACATGCAGGTTACACTGAGAAAAGACTCCTGGTAGCTACCAGAAGTTAGAAGGAACGGTTGCCATCCTTCTATCAGGAGCCTGCTGCAACAAAAATAATTTTGACATGACCAGACAAGGGCTGAGAATAAACAAGTCATACATTAGAGATATTTTTCTCCCCATACATAATGAACAGCAGAAATGCTTGGATAAGAAGACAGATTGTTACATTTATGGCCATGTGGTTCAAGACAGGAATAGGCAAACTACGGCCAGCCGGAAGGTTCAATACGCCCTGCGGATAGAATTTTAATTTGCCGATCAGAGGCTACTTTTTTTTTTTCTTTCTTTCTTTTTTTCTTTCCTTCTACTTTATTTAAATATTATTATTATTTTTCAAATGACTGGTGATCTTTTTACTTTCACTGTTTTTGTTCTAGCAAGCACAGACAGCTTTCAATCGGTAAAGTGTTAAAAACGGAACTTCTTTATTAGTTATAGCTGTAGATTAGTTCCAACAAGCGTTATCTCTTTCTCGGGGAGCAGACATAAGGGAATCCAATATAGGTGAATTAGACCTCATATGTTGCAGACTGTGCATTTTAAGCTCCAGCCAGCGGCTTTCTCTTTTGGCGTGAGTTCTAATATTATTAATTGCGGACATATACAGTCAAAAGTCGTTAATTTGGACACCCATAATCCGGACCTCAAAGCTAAAATCTTTCTGCGCATGCGCATAGGCATTTTACTCGTGCGCCCAAGACATTTACGACTGCGCATATGCGTCTGCGCAAGTGCAGAATACGTTTTCGCGTGCACGTTTAATGTATAACGGATGCTATAAGTTAAAATTATCTAATTATCTATTTCAGTTAATGTTGATGATTGCGTAGTTCCTTAATCTTCGAATTGGATCCGGCTTATTATTTTTTGCAGACTGTAAGAGCAATTTTCTAAAAGTAAGCTTGAAGTTTTGATTATGTCAAATAGAATTTCCGATGCTGGAGCTCCCAAAGGATCTAGAAAACGAAAGTATGTTTTGATGTCCATCAAACAAAAAACGAATTGCTACAAAAAATGGATAAAGGCATATTCTTTGTTTATCTAACCGTTCCGAAATCTGTTTATCAATTTCACGCTGCTCTGCGCGCGGGGGGGGGGGGGAAGACGTCGCGGTGCACAATGAACTGGAAGTTGATTTGTCAACACTATCGTTATCTTCAGAGCAGATGTTTTTATTTTATTCGGCTTATAATTCCTTACTAAATGTAGTATTTAATTTGTATGTACTCCGTCTTTGATATGATTTAAATCAAATTCCTCGTCATTATAAATACCACGAATACAAATCAAATAGTTTTCTGGTTGCAATTTTCTAATTTCGGCTATGCGTAAGGTATGCTTTACGCATCCGCACGTTCAAAGAAATGTTTAATAAAGTAAACAAATAAATATTAGGCTTCTTTTTTGGTAAATTTTGATACCCTTTAGATCATAATTGCTCATTATTTTATAAATTACGGTTTCATATTTTTAATTTTATAATTCCTGCATGTCATCTTACCAGATTTAAACTGATGATCTATAATCCGGAATCGCCGAAGTCCCGACGAGTCCGGATTAAAGACTTTTGACTGTAGCATCATTGTGAATAGTTGTGAAATTATTAAAAATATAGCATAGCGAGTGCTTGTTTGGGTTATTCATAAAATATTTCAACCCCAAAATGGGTACTAAAAAACATAAAATTTATTCAGAGTGCCATGCATTTAATGATGAATGGACCTGGAAATATTTTTAAGAGGGTAAACAGCATCCAAGAAGCAGCTACACTTTGTTACTACAGTAGCATACAATATTGCTAAAATTAATAAAGCTGTCAATAATGGGGAGTTTGTTAAACAATGCATGCTGCAAGTTTGTGATGTTTTTTATCTCCAGACAAGAAAAGTGATTTTGAGACTAAGCTTACCTCGAAAAACAGCGACTTCTAAAATTGAAGATATCGATAAAAATATGACATCCCAATTAGAGTCAAAGATTGGCAATTTTAAATTTTGCTCCATAGCTATGGATGAGAGCATTGATATAAATGATACTGCTCAATTAATATTATTCTTATAAGAGGTATTGATGAGAACTTTGAAATTACCGAGAAACTATCATGCATGTGTTCTTTAAAGGGAGCTACAATGTGATATTTTTTGGTAAATTTCAGAAAGAATTTTAATTTTGAAAGTGCCTATAACAAATATATGTAATATTACAACCGATGGAGCACCAAATATGACGAAAAAAATCTGGATTTCTTGGACTCTTTAATCTAAAATATCCTGGGAACATTGTTTTTCTACATTGTGTTACACTTCAAGATGTTATGTGTAAATCTGCATTGAATATGAAACCCGTGTTTGATGCAGCCGTGAAGCTTGTAAATACTATTCGATTTCGTGATCTTAGTCACAGGCAGTTTCGAGATTTTCTTCAGTCCGTGCAATCTGAATACTCTAATGTACTGTGCTACACGAAAGTAAAGTGGCTTAGTGCATGGTGTGTTTTCGAGCGAGTTTGGTAGCTGAAAGGAGACATTGTGTCATTCTTCCATGAGAAACAGTGTTCTGTGGAGTGTGAAATGTTAGAAAATATATAATGGCTCTTGGACTTTTCAGTGCCATTCAAACAGAATTGGATATTTTTAACATGCCTTTCAACGTAAATTGTGAAGCAGTGAGGTCAGATTTGCAGCTTGAATTAATTGAGTTGCAATTTAACAATCATCTCAGGCAGTTGTTTCTAAATATGCTAAAGTTAGAGTTTTACAAATAATTATCAAAAGTAAGTTTCCCAAATTTAATATCTCACATCCAGAAAATTAGTGCTATGTTTGCTTCATCTTACATATGTGAACAAGTGTTTTCAACTAAACTTTAGAAAGAATTACTTCAGAAGTAGACTGACAGATGGGCATTTAGCCTCGTTCCTTAGAATTAGTATATCTCACTTCGAACCTCAATATAAGAAACTTTTAAAATGAAATCGCAATTTCATTCATCTCATTAACATATTTAAATTGTAATATTTGTATATTGTTTTTTAATTTTAGAAAAATTTATCTTGGCTTGCCATTTTTTTTTTTTTTTTTTTTTTTTTTCAATTTTTGGCACGCGACCAAAAAAAATTTGCCCATCCCTGGTTTAAGTGGATAAATGTATAAATATGAAATTTGCGTCTCAGTTAATATGCCAAATAATGAGTATTGGAGATGCTAAGAAAACAGGAATTGGTGCAATATTCATAGATTTGCATTTCTGCAGATGAAGAAGTTTCTATATTTAAACATTCAAAATAAATCCTACA